TCATGAAATTATTATATACGAACAAACGGAATTGAAAAAAAGTTTCACTGATGTCCGATCAGAGGCACTCAATATTTCAACAATTTTTAACAGTAAAAATTGTGTTTCACGTATGATTTCACATTTCTCTCAACAAATGCACACTTTTATCTAACTATATACAGTGATGCAGAAACAAGCGATGGGCATCGAAAGATACAAGAACCTTGAGATTTATTACAGTCGTGAAATAGTGCGATTTTCATACTTTTTAACCGTTTGTAGCTCATAGCAACATTAACCGATTTCGATGAAATTTTCAGCATGTGTATACAAAATGTATTTCTCAAATTTTCATTACGTGCTTAAATAAAAAAGTTGTAAACAGTGACCTTTACAATTTTCTTCGTGATTTCCAAAAATTGCAGTTTTTCAAAAATTTTTGTACACGTCATCTAGTATACTAATCCTTCTAACTTCCAAAACAAAACTCAAGTCGTTATATCCAATACTGAAAAAGTTATACTGTTCTAAAGGGTGTTCGATTAACCCTTTACACTCGGAGGTCTTTTTGCTGTAAAAAAGGTTGCAAATGGGATCTTCTTTGAAATTTTTTAAACAAACTATACTGCTTTATTTCAATATTTGATGTATTTTCTATCTCACTGTGGTGAACGAATTTATCGAGGTCCATAGATCTGCTCTCTGTCTTGATTAACGATTTATCAAGTGACTTAATAATTGAAATCCTAAAAATCTGTTCTTAATATTATCGTTCGATAGGTATGCCGCAAAATATTACAGCTTGTGCACGTGGCACGAGTGAAATATTTCCGTACTATAAAAGTTCTGTTCATAGTAAAGTGGCACGTCTGAAAACGGTTCGTACACTTCTCTAGTTAACGATCAGAAAAGGTCTTTACAATTTTCGGGCATTAAAGAATTGCGCAGACACACCGAAACTCGTAATCTCGAGACGACGTTACGCGATGCAACGAGAGATTCCGAGGGATGACTAACTCGTAGATCCCCCCGAATGAGGGAACCAAAAGAGGGTTCGCGTTTCCTAGCATGTACTTTGCATGCGCTGAATGCTCCGTGGCCTACGAAGTGCACTCACCGTCCGAAAGGGTAGTTGCATTTTTCTAACGCGTCCAGAGGGGGTGGATTCAACGGGGACGTAGAGCTATTGATTTTAAGGGCTCGTTTTCTGCATGGTATGCTCGACAGCACGGCATTTTGGTCCGCTTATGATGCTCTATTAATAAGGAACTTGCTATATCGTGTTAACTTAAATAATTGCTCGACTTAATTATTTCGTTGTTTATAGAGGATCTTCTTTTTTTTTAGATCTACCTTGATATTAAGATGTATTTGATTCTTTTTTCTGGGTGTTAAAGATTTTAGATCTTTATCTTCCAAATACAGTGGAATCTCGGTTATCCGAGTCCCGTTTAACCGAGGTGCTTTCAACTTAAATAAAATTAGAGTCGATGGGTGTTCATAAATCGTGCAATGATAATGTAACATTGTACATGTATTTAAGTTTAATTAATTATTTAATTGATACATGGTTAATTAAATTTTATGATTAACATCCTCGATTATCCGAGGTAGGCTCGGTCTACATCGCCTCGGATAATTGAGGCTCTACTGCGTGTTGCATTGAATTGTTGGACTCTAAGTTAATTTGGTTTGTATTTGTCCTGAGGATATTATAGAATAATGAAACGTTCATGAAGCGTGCCTAATCAACGTCGTTTGCTAAGTTCAATATTTAAAGATTCGTCCAATGTGTCTGGAAATATTTTTCAATTCGTTACCTTTAAAATTCCTGTAACAATGTTTTATCTGTATAAATTGCGTATTCATTTTATGTACATATACAGCCAGGATATTCACTCCAACGGCCCGCATGAGTTTTCAGCCGTTTATTGCAATGTGATAAAAATAGGTCTTAAAAATTTATCTGCGATAAATAGACAATAAAGAGCGATAAAAAGCATTTCGAAAATACTTCTTTTTTCATCGTGAATATTTAACAAGGTCACCCTGAGTTTTTTTTTTAATAGAAGCATATAATTTTTTCCCATCATATTATAAGGGACATTAAGACGAATTGAACCACTACAAAGTGTGACACTTTTGTTCACAGAATTTTAGATTTACAGTACAGGAGGTTAGTAGGATTTGTATTTTCGGCCCAGAAGACACAAAATAGAAGTAATTAAGCAGTTAAAATAATGCAACAACTAAACGGCACTGTAATTGTTTGTGGTACAGACAGTGCGGAATTTTTATACCCATTTTGAGTTAAACTTCATGTATACAAGAATCACGATTAATGGTGCATTTTATGGATTAAGATGCATACGTAATTATGTAAAAGACGAGATAATGTAAAAAAATGTCTATATTGCAATTCGATTTTGATCGAATTTACAAAGTTTTTCATGCAACTAGAATTTCAATAGTTTCGAATCACTTGCTAATTTTTTATAGATTTGAAATTGATGTTGCGGAGATCGATAGTATTTTACCTTATTTCGTTTGATTTGAACGAGGAAAAATTGGTTAAAATATTCTTAAAATTGTTAAATTTATTCTGGAATTTTTTGTACAACTTGTAATGCACAGTGATTCCAAACATTTGGCCGGTAGTGTACAGTGTGTTAAGAAATGATGGGTTCGGATATACTTATGGTTGTAACTCATGAACAAGTGTATGAATCGATTTGAAATTTTCAGGATATTAAGCTCTTGTATTGATAAAATTCTCTGTTAAATATTATTTAGAAGCATCGGTTAAAAAAAAATTAGGGATGATTTTCCAAACGTAGCCAGTTTTTGACCGTTAGGAAATTATAGGTTCACTTTAAGAAACATATTTACATATCGTCCTTTAAAATTTTTTATCAAAGCAAAAATGTAAAATCTGAGCTAAAGCTGAGATATAGCTAAGAATCTGATAGTCTGGTTTGATTCTGAGTTTTTATAAAAGTTGATTTGTTATATACTGGTTTGAAAAAGTAAGTCGATATTTTACATAAGCTGTATTACGTTTCTCTAATCGTACTACTACATATGAAGAATATATGGAAAACATGATCCACCGTATTAAATGCAAATTATAGTTTCACCTCAGTTATGGAGAAGCACTACAAACAAATAAAATCTTCCATTGTCCAACTACAGTTAATAACATTAATGAATTATATTATTTGTTAATTACTACCTATTACATATTTTCTTCTTTCTTCGTTATTCTAAAATATTTTTTTATTAATACATTCAAATATGTTAATCTAAATGTTACGCTTAATGATTTAACATTGTACGCGGAAATTTGATATAACTTGTGTACATTTAATCGAATGTTTATTTTTGACATCAGAAGCGCTAGGTCGCGGTTATGGCTTGCGAATTATCGCACAATGACCCACGAAAGGCAAGTGGTTGGCACTTCGAGGCACAACGCGTAAAATCGTTTAACAAAGGCAGCCTTAACAGGTGCTTGGCTGGCGGCGTTCTGCCTTTTTCCAGCACGCACACTCGAGTGTGCATCGGACACGTGTAAGTGCACGTGTAGCTTTACTCAGCCACGTCACGATGTACCTTTGTTGATAAAACAATCATCAATTCCGAATAAATGCATTTTTTAGTGGTACAGGTTCATTAATTAAAATATTTCACGTGTAATTTAATAAGCTTCGTAACTCATTGGTTTGTCATATTTACGCTAGAAATAATGCTCAATGATACTAGGGAGTCTATGGCACCTTGTGCAGGCCGAAACAAACGGTATTTTCACAATTTCTCTTGCAAAAAATGTGACGAACTTTTTTCCACGAATAAAGTGTTTTATGAATATTAAAAAAAAAAACTTTTATTTTTATGTTTAATTCTAACAGAAAATATCTATTCCCAAGCATGCCAAGGCGCGTACAGTAGCTGAAATCCTAAATTTCAGCAGTCTTCGTATTTTTGAGATATTGCATTTGTATTTTAGTGTATGTATATGTAACTTGTTGACTTTTAGACATTCGAAAAGTTGTAGGGGTAGTAGTATTTTAAAGAGAAAATAAATTTTTCAGCGATTTTCTTTGTTTGATGTTTTAAGAAGTAATTAAAAGAAGAGAAGAGAAAATATTGACGCCAATTTATAAGTTAGTTTAAAGTTTTACGTGTTCATTGTTCTACGATATTTTCAGTAACTATTCTTTTACCCTTAAATCTTTGATTTCTACGATTTTATTGTTTAGCTGCAGAAGATTGACACTATTTTCTGCGTCGACTATTTCTTTACGAAATGTGACATTACCGCAGCTTATCAACGTAAAAGTACGAGCGGAAACAATAATTAGTAGAGAATTTTTAAATTCAATTTTCTCGAAAGTTAAGCCTTTTATGAACAAATTTTATTCGATATTTTCGGTTTATTTTTTCACGTAGAATTATGTTAATACTGGGACACCTTGTACATTTATGTTTGCTACTTCGCTCACTCTCATTTTCCTTCTCTTTAATCCACGATCTCGAGGGTTGGTTACCGTGTGCGTAGTTCGAGAAATTCCTCAAAGCGAAACGCAGGTAAATGCTTGAATTAATAGTCAGTTACGGGTCCGAAGTTGCGAACATTTATCTAAGCATTACTGCCATTTGTGCATTTACCACAGTGTTCCGCTGATCTTTGAATCCTTACAAGTTTTTCACGTTACTTCCATGAATATTGATAATACTTTACACGGGAAAGAATGTTTACACTACACTTTCAAATTACAAGTTTCTGGACTTGGTCTTAGTCCAGTGACACATAAGTGAAATTATCTCCAGCTCGGAAGCTTTATATTTCAGGCTCTCATTGCACAAGTCTCAGTTATTCTTAGCGAAGGTTTGAAAAATAAATATCCTTTCGTAAATTCATGAAATTATATTAACATTCTAGGGGAGTATATAATGTTTAAATAATTAATTATAGGATGTGCGATGTTTTGTCATTAATTAAAGCTATTTTTCCTCAGGATTCAGGTGCTGGTGCGCCAGCAGACGATGACGAAGCAGCGAGGAATTGCAAAAGGTGAGCTTTATATGAAACTAATTATATTTGAAATGTTAAGAAAATGAAAATGATCGTATCTGAAGAATAACAAATTCAAGTAACTTTCAGATTATTTATTCAGCGACAAAGAAAACTTGATTTCAAATTTGAATCTTAACGGAAAAGCATATTTTCTGTTGGGCGTATTTTATGAATTGCAACAAAGATTTTACATCTAACTAAGCTAAACTTTTTAAATGTTAAAATACTGAATATTCGGTTTACTTTGTAACAGATAATCGACATGGGGTCCTTCTCGATGGTGAAAATCTGCAGTATGTCGAATGTACTGCCAGATTTTCTTGATCAAAAAGTGAGTTTTGCGTGTTGAATAAATTTTAAAATATTTTACAATAAAAGACAAAAATAGCGCCATAACTTGACGTAATTTTTTCACACGATGCCTAAGAAAGAGCAACAATTGTTATCAGCAAATCTCTTGGGATTTCGGTGACTTACTTCCATATATCGATTTATTCTATCGATTTACCACCTGTTTTTTTTTTATCGATTTGTAACCTCGTACATTATAACACTACGAGTAAATATCTAAACTGACGCGTTAGTCACTCTCTTAACGTGATAGTAGCACGCACGGTAGATGTCGGGTCAAATATGACCCAATGCTTAAATATATGCGTACGCAAGCGAAACCACATTTTTCTTATTTTACCAGGTACTATATTGTTGACAATTATGCGAATATATTATGATTAAAACAACAGACATATTTCTAATATTTGTTCCGAATGCGGGTTAAAAGCAGTGACCCGGCATCCGCCGTCTGAAGGTTCAAGGATTGTAGTGTTTCTACCGTAAATATCATAGGAGGTACATACACGAACGTTTTAAAAACTCGTCCGGACTGCGTTCCTCGTAAACTGGACGAATCGCGTCTTGAATAACTTGAGGAAAACGATTTTTGTGAACATAGTCCTTCGAAGCATTGTTCGATTTTGCTCTCCCTTTCGAATCCGGTCCGTGAGGCCTTCCTATCTGACACTGCCTGTCTCCTTTTATCACCATAACTTCGCCAGTTGTTTGAATTTCGATATATCGCTTCGATGCAATATTCTACACACTTGAAATTTGAAGAAAGTGTAAAAAAAAGTTGGACATTTTGAAACCGTCTGGGTACATATACCCCCTTAAGTTAAAATGTTGCTCTAGTGATGCCTTCATGCTGCTCGTATCGATACAGGTTTTGTTATTTAAATCATTTTTCCGTGGGAGAAATAAGTAATTAAGTAATTACAAGTTTTACAAAATGTTTTCTTTTTTAAATATAGTGGTGAATTACAGGGGGTGGGGGTGAAGAAGAGAGGAGACAGTGATGCACATAAAAAATGTGAGATATCTCACGAAGTATTAGTTTTTTAAACATAGTACTCTAATACTTTTCCACGCAGAATGTTCGAAAGAGTTAAAAAAAGTGCATTTGCATTTTTCAAGTGCATCGTTGCAATTATGAAGGAAGTGAAGTCGTAGAAAAATAGACATTACCGTACTATTCAAGCTTTCCCTCAATAGTTTTTTTTTCTCTCTCTTACAAAATTCGAGATGTAACCCGTTCCAATTGCATGACGCACCCTGTATAATAGAAGCCTTGACTTGCGAGAAAGGTTGAGGTTTTACCAGTTTGTCCGTCCTTCTGGTGGTGGAGCGTATGAAATTCTAGTTTTACTTTCTCGCCTTGATTATATGTGGTTGGTCATTGTTGCAACAAAATTCGAAATTTGTGTAACTCGTGATTTTTTCAACACTAATATTTACTACTATACATGGTGCACAATATACTCGTTGTTTATAGCAAATGGTTTGGTTTCGATTTCACCATTCCTCACTTATCATTGAATCCTTAGGCAATCTAATATTTTATGAAAGTTTAATCTGAAATTTTTGGATGCCATTTCTGACACTATTTTAGATTTATGTATTTCGTATACATTGTTGTATTATCTTATGAGTAAAACTTTTCAAATGAAATTTTCTTTTCAAACTTTTGAAAATTGATCAATCTTGGTTCTTAAATAGATATATTTCGAGGATAGACCATCAGCTGTTAATGGGATTTAGCAATTGAAGCTAATTGCACAATAATTGCATAATAATAGCTTGGATTACTTTTCTCAAAATGTGGTATTCACATTTTGAATGTTAACTTAGCAAACTTTCCTTGTACTGTTCATCGCTGAAAATCACATGAAGTGGCTGCACCGAGCGGCTTTAGCCATTCACCAACTCTTTTTTCTTATTAAAACCTGTCTTCGAGACTTGTCGCCGCATGCTTTGTCGCCAACTACAAGCAATATTGCGACTATTGAAAATTGAAAGTTGTTGAACAAAGGAGACGATTAATACAGCACGCAGAAAGTCGAAACACAAAAAGTGTAACAAATGGTCGTAAAACTAATTAGTGTTTTCATGTAAAAATTATTGCAATAATTAAAAACGTGTTTCTTCTCAAAAGGAAGAAACCTTATTTTTGGTGCTAAATGGAAATTTAGCAACATCTTGTCAGCGATGAATTTTTTTTCGTGTAGCTGTACACTTTTATTTTCTATTAAATGTATTTTATTTGAAATTACACCTGTCCAGTCTCGATTACCATTTTACACTTGATCTTATTGTCAGATTTTTACAGCGAACGCAGAAAATTTTTCTGAACTTCAGTATGAAATTTATTGCCACTAATAGCTCGTATTAATATCAGACGTGAGCCAATATCGCTTGAAATTAATTGTATTACGGGTTGCGTTCAATTTCGAATCAAGTCACGTATGGAAATCAATTTCAAACAGAATTAGTTGCATGTTCGAGGATTACGCTGAAGTTAATCAACTGGAGTTCGATTCTCCCGCCGGATCAAATGAACTGAAGCGTTGACGATCGAAAGTCAACGTTCGCAGCAGAGGTGCTCGGGAAACAATTGGAGGATCTGAAGCTGTTACTTAATCGGGCAGACGAGTTCCTTTCTAGGAAAAGATACACGACGTCCCGGCTTCCTCCTTCTAGCAATAATTCAATTAAATTAGCCCGGAGGAAAGTCCCGTGCGAACTTCCTCGAGTCTTTGGGATGTAAACATTCGTTAATTTACAGGAAGTCAAAGAGCGACGAGCGTCTCCTGTCTTGCCTTAATCGTTCAACTTTCTACACTGTCGGTTGCGTAATTTGCGCGAACCGCGCAATCGACCGACCTTCTGTTGGAGTCAGGGAAAGCACCGGAAATTAACTCTCCTCCTTCTGCGCGCAGCGGCGCACTTTCCCAGATTTAATCGCGGAAATTGTCGCGGATCATTTTTTATACCGTGAGAAAACGAACTCCATATTTGCAGCGGAAGATAGTCATGTTCTTGGACGAAACTCGGCTTGAAATAAAAGGGAGCGACAAATGTAGGATGACTAGGGTAAAACAGAGACCGTAATCTTCTAAGTCCTGAGGTGTTTTAAACTTGTAGAATTTTTTCGAGGCTTAAAATAGTCTATTTTATACTTGGGATTCCGAAGCCACTCGTTTGGAATGCATGAGAATGTGAAAATCGTTGATTTCTGGTGTGGGACGTACGAGTCCCACCGAGACTTAGGGTAATTTTTTTCAACATTGGTCGGAAATGTAGAAAACAACATAAACATGTACTTAAATTGTATTTGGGATAAAACTGGGACCTTAAGTACAAAATGGCACTCTGAAGTTAATATAATTAAAGAAAAATGGAAAGTGTAGTTTATTAAAGTAATACTTTTATTGAACAATGAAAAAAAGAAAATCCCCAAAATAACAAGTAAAACTGAACACAGTACCTAACACTGTCCCTAATATTTATAACATTAGAATTCATCCAAATCTGTAGATCCCCAACCAGTGTATCCTTCAGGGGCCCACCCAGAGCAAGTTATACACTGCACTCAGTCTTCGTTCGATCTTGATGCACCATAAGATTCGCGACAGTAAATACAAATATCTTCGTTGTTTTAGTATTTTTGTTTTCATCATCACTACTGTAAAAAAAACACAATCAAGCAATATCTGCGACACCGCTTTAATAATCTTACTGCGA